TGCCATATGTGATAGGTGGAAAATAAGTAATGATGAGGTACTCTCCGCCCTTATCAGAGACATAAATGAAAAAATGTGTTAATAAGGAATTGCGTACAACTAGATTAAAAACAAAAAAATGATTCAAAGTACAAAAAATATCTCCACATCATAAAAATATGAGTGGGATGTATTGTCTTTTAGCCAGTCCTTTTGGGCATAGATGTTTTAGTTGTTCGAATTGTGGAACGTGTGTGGAAATATGTATGGTTTTTTTTTTTTTGGGTGGTTTTGATGATGGCGTTGTAGCCTGCTAAATTTTGTGGGATCTGGGATAACATCGGGGTTCTGCGTATTGGAGATTGCGTGTGTGGGGACGGGGTTTTGAGTCCGTGGAGAGGAAGGACAAGGAAGGTGTACTTGCTTGGGTACTGGGCCCTGCTAATAAAGTCGCAGTTTTGAGGAGGAAAAAGAAAGTGGGACGAAAGCGTTTTGAAAAATCATAGGGTACCCAACTCATCAATAGTTTTCAATTAAATAGATTTAAGCATAATTGGCTGAGGACTAAGTTGACTACCTAATTAATACCTATAAACAATCTAGTGTAGGGTTATTCTATCAAGAAAAGAAACCGGAATGCAACATTTGCGAGAAGCAAATGATTCTCAAATATGCAATCTGACAGTCGGACATGAAGAGGTTGTCATACCTCATGTCTCCTAAACATCAAGGTAGAGTAATGTTACTCCTAAAGGTGATAAAACGGCATAAGCTGCTTGATGAACCTATACGTGAGCAAGAGTATACCACTTACCTAGAAAGACCCTTATGCAGTGATTTACGCCCATATAAGCAACTTGACGAGCCTTCACATGTGGGATCACCCGTCAAGTTTATACCCTTTAATCTCTTTAATGCAAGGACATAATCTTGGCTCATACTTTGATATGAGATTTAAAAAAAAAAAAAAAAAAAAAAAAAAAACGAGACTTAAAAGTTTGAGGGTAAGCTCAATACCTTGTAATAGTTGCTATGCATGAGTGAATGCTATCTCTACTAGATAAGTAAGAGATGATGAAGATGGTTGTGAACAGTTGAATAACTCTTTTGTTTTCTTTTTTTCTTTCTTGCAAATACCCGTTATCTTATAAAGATAGTTAATTCTTTGCCTTTAATCACTTTAAAGTTTAAACCACCACTACCTAAGTCTTTTTTTGCCATTGCCTGCTGAGCCTGGGGGGAGGGGAGAGTTGATTCGTTTTCCCCTTACCTAGCGTGGGGTTTAGTTTTTGATATGGATGTTACATGATAATCGCGATTTCCGTGAATATAAGGACAAAAATCATGTTCAATCTTCAAGTGACAAGTTTCATGAAATCTTTAGTATGATAATAAATTGGTTGCGGAAATAAAATCCAACTGTGCCCTCTGTGTGCAGCGTGGGATCAATATCATAAAAGAAAAATCAAAACTATACTAATGTTATCATTGTCATGTATGATAATTTTGTCTTTTGTCCGTATGTGAGGGACAAAAGAAACCGTAATTTATTATTTTTCCCAACAGGATGCCGAACTCCAGTGTTTTATGATCATCATATATGATAAGTATGAGGATTGAAAATGAGCCTTTAATAAGGAATTCACGTTTTGCTCAGTATAAAAGATAAACTTAACGGACAAAAGGTTTACTTCAACCGTCCAGCTTCCATATCCATAGTGATATCCCAGGCTACTATCCGGGGCATCCAGGTCATCTTGTGTGCCAAAGCTGCCTGCCTGTGTAAGGACCAAAGACGGTCCCAAGAAACAAGAAAAAAAAACAAATCTAAAGTATTTGAGAAAAATATGTTATGCAAAAAAAAAAAAGAACAAACTTTTACTTTGAGGTTACATCAAAATTGTTTTTCAGATTGAAAATAATAATTTTTGTTTTTTGTTTCTAGGCTACCAGGGTAGCCTACGACCACTTGCCTGACCGGGCCAAAGAAAAACATAAAAAAATAAAAAAATCATTTTGTAAAATTTTATTTTTTATTTGAACACTGGTAAAGAATTTAAGTGTGACTTTGAGGTAAAAGTTGTTCAGTTTATTTTTACGCGTAACATAATTGTTTTTCAGAATTATTGGATTGTTTTTTTTTTTTTTTTTTTTTTTTTTGGGTGGGACTTTGGATGGTCCTTGCACGGCCTAGCATCCCAGGCAAACAACGTGATCCAGGCAGCCCGACTGGTAGCCTAGATTTTTTTTTTTTTTTTTTTTTTTCACCCGATCGGGCAAGTGGTCCCTGGCCACTCCTGAAACCTAAGTGGTATCAAAATTACCAAACCCTTTTTCATAAATTGAAATTGTAATTTGTAACTAATAAATTAATAATAATTTCAACTTTTGAATTGGGTTATAACTCTTTCTAATTGTTGCTTTACCGATCTTAGATTCTTAGTAGGCTTCTAATTAAAAAAAAAAAAAAAAAAAAAAGTAGGCTTCTGTTCAAGTGCTTTGCTTTCCTTGAGATAGTTCGTTCAGCAGCTTGAACTAGGAGTTTGGAACGACAGCCTGACAAAATATTATAGTTTGGCAGATCGCTCATCGTGTTAGGTTGTATTAGTAGAAAAACAATGCAACATTGCCATAATCAACTAACTTCAATTTGAAATTATGGACTAAAACTCCTGAAGCATGGCTATCGGGGGTTTGAACAGCGGTCATTAGATACGAAAGGATGCGGACGGGGTCTGAAAGGCGAGATCTGATCCGAAGCATGGGTTGTATATATATATATATATTGTCACAACCCCTCGTTTGTTGTCCTCTTCTCCCTCTCTGCCTACGGTTTACCGGGCAGTTCTATTTGATGATATATATATATATATATATATATATCCATATATATTTTTGGGTTGTATATTGTTATTTCTGTTTCAATTCATTTTCTTGAATTTGGTTATGAAATCTCATATTGCATCAAACCGCTCTATAGACCATGTAGACTCGAGTACGGGAATTAAGTCTGTCCTATCCTGAAGTGTTTCAATATATAATGTAGAGGAATGATAAATGTTGAAGAACAATGATCATGATGATACCAAATGTCTTTGATAGTATAGTTGATACCCTTTTACGAGGGGAATCTTTAGGAAGCCAAAACACATTTCAATTAAAATTTTTATTAAAATATCATGTTCAATAAATTTTACTAAAATAGGAGAAGCAAGAAAGCAAGATGGACACAAGACGTCGTCGAGAGTCAAGAAACAAATGAATCACTCGAGGCAAAAAATAGAGCTGTGAAATTTCCACTTCATTGAATTTGGACCGGAGCCGCCAGGCAGGTTCGGCCCAGCGCCGCTCGGCTCGTATATGGCCATGACTTTTGCAAGTACTAGTGGTCTAAGTACCTTTGTTTTTTTTCTTTTTTCGAGTTTACATCTTCCTGGTGTGCTAGCAAGCCTCTGCTAGCAGTTAGGTCCCTGAGGAGTTTTGCCTCTTGAGTCGAATCAGGCACCCAAACACACACACACACACACACACACACACACACACACACACACATGAGAGAAAGACTCTTCGGAGTGCCAACAACATGTTTCTAAGAAGCATATGTAGTATGTACTGTAATGTACAGCATCAGATAAACTCAATGATGCTTTTTTTTTCTTTTTCTTTTTTTTTTGGAAAATTTGTGAAAAACTTTTCTTTTTAATTTATTTTACCTGAGTTATTTGCCACCACTACTTTATAAACTTATATAAATTTGACAAGTTCGTATTTCCAACTGCTTCAGGAGTGTTTTTTTCCCCCCTTTCTATTTTGGACCGATTCTCGATTTACGTGTGTCATCCTTCCGGAGGGGCCTGTTGCAAATTTTCATTCCCAGTGTCATTCCAATTTCAACAAAGGACATTCAGGAGTGAGGTTTTTGTTTTTTTTTGTTTTTTGACCATTTCTCAATTTACATGTGTCATCCTTGCACAGGGGCCATGTTTATCTTCATTCTGAATATCATTCCAATTTTAACGCGTGTCCCGAAGGACTGGACTTTCGGGAATGTTCGACCAATTGCATTTCGCTCATTTTTCACAGTTGCAACCGCGTCGAGGGCATCCAGAAATGCACTGAAAATTTGTGAAAACGAACCTTTGATTTAAAAATAAATAAATAAAATTTAATAAATAAATGAACATTCGAAAATGCGGGGGGCGTTGGGTAGCGCTTGTTTACCCCTTTGAGGACGGAGACTGGAGTTCTTGTGAGAGTGATGATGGTGCTCACCCCCTGCTGAGAAGCGGTCCTCCGAAACTCCTTACGAGGACGGAGTTAGGAAGGACGGATGGGACTGGGATGGAGGGAGTCGAGGTGGATGCGATTGGCGCCAAGTATCTTGGCGGGTACCGGCCACAGGCTACTAACTCCACCTGGAACAACTTGAGGTTTTTCCTTTCGATGACGGAGGCAGGAACTTTGTCTTCATACTTTATAATTTTGATTCATCAAAGGCCGTCCCTGCTCAGCAGGGGCAATCAATGCTGGCAGGGAGAGGTCTTCTTAAATTTGTCTCAAAAAGAGGTGTGCAGGAGAAGTAGATGGTTTGGATATCAAGCGTCCTACTAGTGAGGGGGCTAGCTCGTAGGATGGAAATAGGGTACAGCAGCAGCGGAGATGGTGGCTCTGCTGCAGTAAGTCTTGCCGGAGTGAGGTAAAGAGGATTGATGGGGGGTTTCTGAGTCGTTTCTGAACTTCGCCAATTTTGAGGTTTGTCGTAGTGATTTTCTAAGTAGCCCAATTTTTTCTTAGCCAAAACCGGGTAATGGCCCCGGGATCTCAAACTTTTAAATTTCTACGTAAATTTCTATATGGGACGCTGGGCCCGGTTCCCAGCACGTGCTGCGTGCTGCTCCCCACGACAGATTGGAGCCTTGTTCCCAAAAAAAAATAAAAAATAAAAAATAAAAAATAAAAATAAAAAAATGCGGTGGGCTCATTCTCATTCTGTCCTGTCCTGTCCTGAAATCGGATATTATATTATGAAAGCTTTAGACGCAAGATATACTGTACTCTCCTGTCCTGTCCTGTCCTGTCCTGTCCAGTCCTGTCCCATCCTGTCTGAGATTTTCTGTAGTATGCACAGACCCCGTTTCCTATACTATGCCCAGATCCAATTGCAGATAGTCTACTGTTGAAACCTACCATCTTCCCCCGAGTACAACATAAGGTCCTTATGCCTGTATTGGGGGCAACTTTCTGGCTAGATACAGCAATAATGACGATTATACGATCTATATTCGGGGCAAGACAGAGGGACCTCCACCGACAATGGTGCTGTCCGGGCGTGCAGCTTCTCCTCACAGTCTTCCCTCTGGGCTGTCTCGTCTTCTCTGCGATTCCCTGCAGTTCCAGACCCCATTCGTTGCCTCGGGTATGCCATCCCTCTTTTTTTTTTGTGTGTTGTGAATGTTCACCACAACATCCCCTGTTCCACCCAGACGATTAGATTCAAAATCGCAGCAACTTCACCTCTATTGTAGAAGATGTGTGTGTGTGTTGGGGAGGACAGGGGGGTGTGTGTATGTGTATGTGTGTGTGTGTGTGTGTGTGTGTGTGTGTGTGTGTGTGTGTGTGTGTGTGTGTGTGTGTTAGATTTTCCCCACAACAGCTGTGTGTGTGTGTGTGTGTGTGTGTGTGTGTGTGTGTGTGTGTGTGTGTGTGTGTGTGT